GGAGCCGATGTCTAGAAATTAGGATTGTCCTGTGATTGGTAGAGATGCTTGTACATTTTCTAACTAGTTATTGTTTTCCTTATTAACGTAATGAATATGGTTTGGAATTTGAATTATTCCACGATTAATTTGTCTGCAGGGGTAGCCATCATGAGGAATGGGATGAGCGGCATTCCAGTAACACACTTCCGAAATGTAAGAATTTGCAATGTTCATTTCAACACAACTAATATTTTTGTCGTTTTTAACTTTGAATGTCTCAAGCAACTTAAAATCTGTTCATTTCTTCTGAAATTAATTACTAAATTTGTCTCAACTCTCAAGTAATATATGTAAACTACTGTGAATAGAGAAGAAAAGAATTTAATTTTGCAACTTTATTTGTATATAATTCAATGAACTTTGATATACTCATATACCCATTTTCAATTTGAAGGATAACTTCACTAATTCCATGCCTTTGCTAGCTTGTGGTTTGATTCTTTAGACATTTTCTCTGCATTTAGCATTAGTCCTGTAATTTAGCTTGCTAATTGGCTGATGGATACGTACATCAGATGATGAAGCAAGAGGCTGGCAACAGAGTGATGGTTCAGACGTACGGAAGGTAATAGTGTTTGGACAGGTAATCAATTTCTAGTAAATGAGAAGCTCAAAATAATGATCTCTAGTCACAAATATGGTTTTTTGTTTCATATATTACTGTTGGTTGTTCTCAACTTCATCCTACAGCTTCCTCCAGCTGTCCTGGGCCAGCTTAACTCTAATCCGAAACCTCTGTACTCGTTCATACTCATGTTGCTGTTACATGCTTCCCTATTTCTTTGGATCATTGAGCTTGTGTACAGATGGAAAAGGGAAACAGTTACCCGGAGGATGTGGAGGGGCAAGCAACCTTCGCTTTCTTTTCCTTCTCCAACCAACAGCAAACCCTTCATCAGCTTGGCAGATATTGTTGGATTGCTATCTACTGTCTTTCAGTCTATTGTTACAACAGTTAATTATGCTCTACTTGTTCGACATACCAATACACAGATTCAAATATCTGGGTGGCCAATCATTCTAGCATTTGTTCTATTATGTTCAACATTTTGGGTTGATTGGACCCAGACAGACCAACCGGATCATGAACCATTACATTCAATAATCATCAACCAACCCACATCCAAATATCAAGGTATGAACTTCATTATTTAGTACAATGATAGTTTTATTAATGTCTAGAGTATTACACTTTATTTCATCCCTTTTTATGATATAATTAATTCTACAAGCATGGTTTCTTCTCTGATTTAATGGTATTATCGTTATATGTAATTAAGCATGCTAACTGATTCATGTATATGTCAGATCATTTTAAAGAAACTTGCTGGATATTCGATTTGTGTTCAAAGGTACGATTAACAATAAGAACAATAGTTATTTTTCCCCATTTGAGAAGCCAAAAATTATTAAAGTTTCCCTTTATTTCATAGATTACTATTACACGTGTTTGCTATTGCCAACTTCATCCTGGAGCTCCCTTCAGCTGTACTTGATCAGCTTTGCTCTGAGCCTAAACCTCTGTATGCACTGATATTAATGTTGCTGTCATTTGCATCCATTCTTCTTTGCATTATCGAGTTTTTGCTCAAAGGAAAAACGGAAAGAGTTACATGGAGCTGGAAGCGGAATGGTAAGGTACCATGGCTTCACCCCAACAAGCCTTTCTTCAGCTTCTGGGATAAGGTTGGATTGATATGTGCCGTGATTCAGCCCGTCCTTTCAACAGTTAATTATGCTTTGGTTCTTCAACGGAGGGGCCAGGTCCTGATATCTGTGTTGCCTATCGTTTTTGCCCTTGCTTTTTCATGCTCCAAGATTTGGGAAAGTCCAAATATGACAGAGAGTGAGAGAAACATTGATGAGGAAGAACAAGTTGTCCTCATTAATCAGAGACAAGGAGTGACTGAAGTGTCGACCCTAAAGAAAGACAGTGAACCAACTGCCAGTGAAGAAGGGAAAAGTGGCCTCACGAATCAAAGTCAGATCAGAGTGAATGAAGAGGTGTTCTCAAAGAAAGAAAAAAGTGTTGTTAAAGATGATAATAAAATGGCCCCAAAGACAAAGGATAGTCGGGGACGGGGGACCCTTGTCCATGGATACCAACAAAGGTTCATTGGCGAGGTTAAAGAGAACACCTTCGCATGAGATGGGGTTGACTGCAGCGGAACAGAACAGAGCGTTGACTGAAGGATGGGCGACAAAGATTCTAGCAGAACAGAAGGAACTCCTTGGGGAGTCTTGGAAAGACGAGACATGTCCATTAGAACTCCGTGAGAAGTCTTCGAAAGACGAGACTTGGCCATTAGAAAAAAACAAAGAGTCTGTGTGGAGGAAAAAGAAAGAACTTATGCGAGAGCCAACAAGAAGAAAAACGGATACCATACCAAGAAGAAGAAGGAAAAGTGGGCGATTAGAGTTATTTTAACTAATTAGTTTTAAATGCCCGTGCTTTCAACCGACTTTTTTTTTCTATATTCTCTGATTATTTTCGTAATAATTTTTATGGAGAATTTGTTTGAAAAAAAGTGTTGGTTGAGTTAATGGTAAATGAATGTGTGTATATATATATATATTATAGTTTTTTAGTTTGTACATTGCACGAGTGATTTCTTAATTTTTATATGAAAATTTATATATTATATTATTTTTTTTATCCCTTCTTTAATTTTATAATAATTTTTAAACTAATATTACGATACAATGTTTGCAGTACATATTACGATGCAATTGTTGAATAAA